TTACCTCCTAGTCATCCTGCATCCAATTCCAATCCACCACAAGTGTGCAAGCCTCACAAATCTACATATGGTCATAAACAAGCAAGCACGCAATGGTATTCAAAGTTTTCCCAAACCTTACTTAATTTGAGATTCAAATAATCACAAGTTGATTACTCTCTACCTCAAATCCAATGCCAATTTATTCACATCCATATTGGTATATATTGATGAAATAGTCATTATTGGCAATTGCTTGACATGAATACAACATGTTGATTAATTTCTTGATCAACAATTATGCATCAAAGATCTTGGAAAACTCATATTCTTCCTTGGTCTTGAGGGAACATGTTACTTAGGAGCTAAACCATCTCTCATTCCTATCAATCATACCACCAAAATGTCCTAACATAAGGGCGCTCTCCTAGAAGATCCTACTTCCTATTGAAGACTCATTGGTAGACTTTTATACTTCACTCGCACAAGCCCATATATCTCTTTCTTTGTGCAACATCTAATCTAGTTCATCTCTAAACCATTGACCTGTCACTTCACTACATCAACCAACATTCTCAGGTACCTTAAATTAGACAAAGGTGGCTTATACTCTAGCATTGCTCTAATCAAGCTTCATGGTTTTGCTGAATCTGATTGGACAAGATCTCCTGATTTGAGGAAATTTATAACTGGATATTGACTACAAGGGCTTCAAAATCTCATTTCTAATTCCATCATATCTTTGTCAAACCCTTCATCCATTTATTGTTACAGCAAATCAACTATATACTTGGCACATAATCTCATTTCTAATTTCATCATATCTTTGCCTCACCTTTCATCAATTTATTGTTACAACAAATCAACTATATATTTGGCATATAATCCAACTTTTCATAAAAGAAGCAAGCATATAGAAATAAATTGTCATGTTATTTGAGAGAAAAATTAGAGAAAAAAAAAGTTCATTCTTCTTCTACCAGTCAGCAACTCGGATTAGCTTGTAGATACATACACCAAGCATTTACATCAAGCATCTTTCCCTACCAACATGTCTAAGTTGGACCTATACAACATACATAATCCAACTTGAAGGGGGTGTTAAATATTACACTTACTTCATGTACAAGTTTTTTTTATTTTTCTAATTTTAGATTACTTGTTAGTTTGTTAGGAAGTTGGTTATTTTGTTAGTAAAATAATTTCTTTTGAACTCTCTATATAAGGAAGATAATTATTATAATCATGTACGCAAGATGGTCATTCATTCATCAATAATAATAAGTTTCGTTCTTTTCAAGTTATTGTATTAACAGCTACGACCTTAAAAGATGAGACATGTTAATTATATAATCTTAATTATAAAAGACGTTCAATTTAATCATAAAATAGTTATATTGATTGTCTTCGCGGAAAATGACAATTTTGAGGCAACTATTCTCACATTATTTATTATTGATATCTTGAACTAAAATAGCATATTTATGATACTTGTTGATGGGAGTTTCGACAAAGTTGTTGTGGAGGAATGTTGCAGTAAACTGCTTCCTTGAAACTCATGTCTTAACAATTTAAATGTCTTGTGAATGAAATAGAGTTTTGCTAATAGAATATATGATAATCCACATATGTATTTAGAAAATCGTCCTAATTAAGCACCAAAGAACTTATCAAAATAAACTATTCTCTCCGATCTTTTTTGGAAGAGATATCTCAATTTTTAGATTTATTGGTGTGAAGGTAGTATTAAATCTTATATATCTAGATCAAACAAAAATATTGGTGTGAAGAGCCAAAATTTCCAATTTTAACTTTATAAAACTATAATGAAAGTGTTTTGGAAAGTAATAAATAAATAAATCTATAACTAGATATTGACTACAAGGGCTTCAAAATCTCATTTCTAATTTCATCATATCTTTGCTTCACCCTTCATCCATTTATTGTTACAGCAAATCAACTATATACTTTTGGGATATAATCTCATTTCTAATTTCATCATATATTTGCCTCACCTTTCATCCATTTATTGTTACAGCAAATCAACTATATACTTGGCATATAATCCAACTTTTCATAAAAGATGCAAGCATATAGAAATAAATTGTCATGTTATTTGAGAGAAAAGTTAGAGAGAAAAAAGCTCATTCTTCTTCTACCAGTCAGCAGCTCAGATCAGCTTGTAGATACATACACCAAGCATTTACATCAAGCATCTTTCCTTACCAACATGTCTAAGTTGGACCTATACAACATACATAGTCCAACTTGAATAGGGTGTTAAATATTACACTTACTTCATGTACAAGTTTTTTATTTTTTTAATTTTAGATTAATTGTTAGTTTGTTAGTAAAATAACTTCTTTCGATCTCTCTATATAAGAAAGATAAGTATTATAATCATGTACGCAAGATGGTCATTCATTCATGAATAATAATAAGTTTCTTTCTTTTCAAGTTATTCTATTAACAACTACGGCCTTAAAAGATGAGAGATGTTAATTAGATAATCTTAATTATAAAAGACGTTCAATTTGATCATAAAAAAGTTATATATATCAAATACATTAAGTATTTGATGAATCTAAAAATTAAACTGTTTCTTATAAAGAAATATTGAAGGTAGTATTAAATCTTATATATCTAGATCTAACAAAAATATTGGTGTCAAGAGCCAAAATTTTCAATTTTAACTATAAAATTATAATGAGAGTGTGTTGGGAAGCAATAAATATATATTAACGTGACTATTAATATATATTTAAAATGAGAGATGAGAGAAATAAACAACAACCATTAGATCATGATTAAATTTATTTATTAATATGACTATTAATTTCTTTCTCTTATTAACTTGAATTTCATCTCTCTTATTAATTTGATCTAATAGTTGTTGTTTGTTACTCTCATCTCTCAATTAAAATCACTCTCATTTGATATGTTCTATATATATATATATATATATATATATATATATATATATATATATATATATATATATATATATATATATATATATATATATATATATATATATATATATATATATATATATATATATATATATATATATATATATATATATATATATATATATATATATATATATATATATATATATATATATATATATATATATATATATATATATATATATATATATATATATATATATATATATATATATATATATATATATATATATATATATATATATATATATATATATATATATATATATATATATATATATATATATATATATATATATATATATATATATATATATATATATATATATATATATATATATATATATATATATATATATATATATATATACTTCATTTAATTCAACTAAAATATACTAATTGAAGTATCTCACCAAATCTAATAAAGAAAATATTTTCATCTTACAATAAAAAAGATTAATCTTTCACACCGGAGAGAATTAAAATAAATGACAAAATTTTCTTTTAAAAGATTTGACTGCAGGGGCATTTCCATATTTCATAAGCTGACATATTATATACTAAACACACACAAGATCAATTATACAATAATCCAAACATAAATTGAAAAAAAAAACATTTTTTATAAATATATCTTATCATAAATGATTTGTTAATCGTTTTCAACCAACAAATATTTTGTAAAACCAATTCAATCAACGAAGAACTGCACAAAGTTGGACGTAGTTTCTATGAGTTAAAAGTGATTGAGGTCCCAAACCACAAAATTTGGGTAAGTAAGTAGCTTTTGTTTCCAAAGACAGTGAGAGTAGGTAAATAGTACTAGTAAGTATCAAAAAGGCCTTGAAATTGATGGTCAAAAACACCCCCAAGACCATGCATCACACCCCTTCACCAAACATCACATTGCTCCCTTAAATGTAATGAAAATGACAAATACAAGAAACACAAAAGTCACTGTTTGAAGATATTCATTCCCATATCCAAAATAAGACACAACAATATTTTTCTTCTTCATGTGAAGTGGGGATGAATCCTCCTCTAAAGTGATAACCAACCATTATAGAACATGTATGTAATGTACCCTTGTGTTTCAAACATTCCTTGTCCAAGAAAGAAACAAAAATAAAATAAATACATGTTGTAAAAAAACATGAAATAGTAGCACTTTATCTTTTTTCATTGTTGAAGTGCTTTTTGCTTTGATTGAAAAATACAGCTATTGGATACGTTAGTATACTATACTTTACTGTTAGAGATCTTTACTCACTTTGCTGATTATAGGGGCAGGCAGCCTTTGTTTATCTGACCTAAATAATTTATGTTCAGAGAGACTTTAAAGCTAAACAACCTGCCAATTGCCCCTTCATGTTTTCCTGCCTTGTCTTTATCTGAGGTTTCCATTTCTTTTTAACCTAACCATTTATCCTTGCATGCAACCATCAATATCATTCATTCAAATTCATTTAAGGAAAGAAACCTGTCCCTGATTTTTTTTTAAAGTATTTCAATGTCTAAAACATATAGAGTTTATAGTTTTGGGTGTGTTTCATTTGTAGTGTTTAAAATTTTACCCATTAAAAATAATTAAATTGAATGTATATATATATATAATACGCTTTCGAGATACAATAGGATTACCAAAATGTTTTTTAATTAGTTTAAATTAAAAGGAATCTCGTAAAATAGTTTATTATATTTGATGTAAATTTAATTTATCCAGCTCTCTGTATCCCGCATCACTTTACTCTGTTGAAATTAGATACTTTGCTGTTGTTTCAGAGAACGAGGACCTATGTTTGAAAGAGAGAGAAACTCTCTCTCACACTTGTTCAAAGTTGAAAGTTGAAACCATCTCTCTCTCTTTCTTTATTTCTTTCTTTGCTCGTCACAATGTCTTGTTCTACGACTACTCCTTCACTATCTCACCTCATTTCCAACCTTTATTAATTCCTCTATTTCTTCCTTCAATTATCACTAACTACTCACTTTTCTTCCTTCAACTTCTCAATTACTTCAAAAGCTGCATGAAGTAGAACAAGATTAACAATGACCGATGTGTATACAAAGAAAACCAAGGTTTTTACTTCTTCTCAAATATCTACTACAATTTTTCTATTCTTCTTCTCAATTCATCATTTTTTATGTTTTCCTATATACTTGCTTAATGAAGCTCTCATGGTCAAAGAGAATGGTCCGAAAATTCTTCAACATCAAATGCAAAACTGAAGACACTACTCATCCAACGGATGCTTTTGCTTCTCGAGGTCTCTATCTCTTTTTTTTTCTCACTTTCTATAAGAAATTGAAAGGGAAATGTTTAATTTTTTTTGTTCTAGTTTCTACCTAGTTTGGTTCCCTAATTTTTGTTTCAATTTATACCTCAATTTTTGTATTCACTGATTCTGTTTCTTACTACACTTTGTGAATTTGAATTTGATGCGTTCAAACATGTTTTTCTGGTTCAGGAGGTCATGGATTAGAATACAGAAGCAGAAGCAGCTTATCTGAGAGAGAGCCATGCACAATCAAGAAGAGCAAAACAGGTACATACATACTTTTTTACAAATTGAAATTCATTATCTTCTTTTTTAAATGATGAAATTGACCTTTAATTGTAATGTACAGAGAAATTTAGCAGAAGTTCGGATCATGTTAGGCGAGCGAGGATGAACCTTGACCATCCTAGAATTATAGATGTCCACAACTATAGGTATGTTGTTTCTTTGATCTTGTTAAAATCTTGTTTTTTTTTCTGGGATTAATTTCTCATGAATGGTTCTCTTTTTCTCTTTGAGTAGCGTTTTTGTTGCTACATGGAATGTGGCCGGAAGATCGCCACCGAGTAATTTGAGCATCAATGACTGGCTTCAAGCCTCGCCTCCTGCAGATATTTATGTTCTCGGGTAGGATTTCATTCTTGTTAACATCTTTTCAAACCAAACACAGTATCTGATTGAATTGACTTATTTGAGTTTATCTACTTACATAAGTACTTCTAAGACTGTTTGAGAAAGGTTATGACATGTTCATAAGCGATTTCCAGCTTTTTTTGGTAAGTTCTCTAAGATTGGTAATGATAATGACAGTATCTTTTGTTATAGAAATAGCTTATATATAAGTACTTATGTGATAAAGACTTCTGCTATAAACGCTTACTTAAGTTGTTTACCCAAACAAGGCATAGTACTAACATATTTCTATTTTTGAATTGCAGATTTCAAGAGATAGTTCCCTTGAATGCTGGTAATATCTTAGGAGCAGAAGACAATGGCCCTGCTAAAAAATGGCTGGCTCTCATTGGAAATACACTAAACAACCTTCCCGGTACGAGTGGAAGTAACGGATACTACACGCCTTCTCCTATTCCTCAGCCAGTGGTAGAATTGAATGCAGATTTTGAGGGATCAGCTAGGCAGAACAATTCGTCATTCTTCCATCGGAGATCCTTCCAAACAACTTCTAGCAGCTGGGGAATGGACAGTGATCCTTCAACCGTGCAACCGCGACTAGACCGAAGATTCAGTGTCTGTGATCGTGTGATTTTTGGTAACAGAAAAAGTGACTTTGATCCCAGTTTTAGATGGGGTTATAGACCTAGTGACTATTCAAGAGCAAGTGACTACTCTCGAACGAGTGACTATTATTCAAGGGCAAGTGACTACTCTCGACCGAGTGACTATTCAAGATGGGGTTCATCTGATGACGACAATGGCCTCGGAGATTCTCCGAGTACAGTCTTGTTTTCACCGATGTCTTATGGAGGGCCTGCTGCCTCTGGCGAAGATGGATATGGCATGCCAGGGCGATCAAAATACTGTGTTGTTGCAAGTAAGCAAATGGTCGGAATCTTTCTTACCGTTTGGGTGAGAAGTGAATTGAAGGATCATGTTAAAAACATGAAAGTATCATGTGTTGGTAGAGGATTGATGGGTTATCTTGGAAATAAGGTAAATTTTAAGCCAATCTTATGATATTATTCATTGTCCTCTTCTTGGTTCATTTTTTCTTCGAAACATATTCATGGCTAAAATGCTGATTACTTGACATTGGCTTGAGTGAGAGATTTATTCTGCTTCTATTGTATTTGTAGGGATCCATCTCAATTAGCATGTCTCTGCATGAAACAAGCTTCTGCTTCATTTGTAGCCATTTAACCTCAGGACAGAAAGAGGGCGATGAACTAAGAAGAAATTCTGATGTAATGGAGATTCTTAAAAAGACAAGGTTTCCGCGTGTTCACGGTTCTGACAATGAGAAGTCTCCAGAGACAATCCTTGAGCACGAGTAAGAATTTATTAATACATCGTCATCTAATTGTCTAGTCTTATTACGTAGAATGGACACATTAACAAGTTTGAATGAACCGTCCTAATTTTGAATCTGTTTTATCCAGTCGAATCATATGGCTTGGAGATTTAAATTATCGAATAGCCCTCAACTACCGTTCTGCTAAAGCACTTGTCGAGATGCAAAACTGGAGAGCATTGTTAGAGAATGATCAGGTACTTATAACTATGGAATGAGTGAGTGCTTTTAACTATATTCACGTAAAACAAAAACAATCAATATAAATGAGTGCTTATGTATATCACGTTTTTACTGGCAGTTGCGAATAGAGCAAAAGAGAGGTCGCGCATTTTCTGGATGGAAAGAAGGGAAGATCTATTTCCCTCCAACATATAAGTATTCAACAAACTCAGATAGGTATGCTGGTGACGATATGCATCCGAAAGAGAAAAGACGAACACCTGCTTGGTAAGATCATCGGCCACTTAACCATAACTAGTACAAATTTAGCAGTAAAAAAGAGGCTACTTCTGTTGAAATTTTGAAACTTATAATGGCAATGTAAATATAGGTGTGACCGGATTTTGTGGTATGGAGAAGGCCTACATCAATTATCTTATGTACGCGGAGAATCAAGATTTTCAGACCATAGACCGGTTTATGGCATGTTTTGGGCTGAGGTTGAGTCGAATCACGGAAAATTGAAGAAAAGTATTAGCTGTTCGCGCTCCAGAATCCAGGTGGAGGAACTTTTGCCGTATTCCCACGGATACACCGAATTAAACTTTTTCTGAGGATTAGATATGCGATATGCGCAGTCTTATTCAAGTAAGCTCTCTATCCTTACAGTAGATACAAGGCTTTCATGCTTTCAACTTTGAAGCCATATTATGTTTATTTTTACCTCTGAATTACAAAACTTACAATTTCCATCACTCCTATTCAGCAAGCGGGAGTTCCTTTGAACATTCATGACAGAGACAAAGCATTTCCCAAATACCAAGAAAGGTTAACTTACATTCATTTTTTTTCCACTCTTTCATACTTTTTTACTTGCTTCTGCTTTTGGTCACAATCTCTTATCTCTAGTGTCTAATTTCAACTTTACCTTTTCTCTTTTTCATCTCAGGCACTAATATGTAATTTTACCCAACAACTACACATGTTCAGTAGATTCCATCAAACTTCAAACATAATCATCATAATGTTGTTCAGCTTCATACTTTGATAACCAATTAACAAACACAAAACTTTACATTGTCTCTTCCTGCAAAATCATTATTAAACAGGTACTTTAATATTCTTCTAACATTAATATTAGTACTATTTATTTACCTTAAATTACTCGTGACATATATTTACATAACATGTTACATATGCACGCTGCACGCATACTCATGATCAGTTTTTATATTATTGTTGTGCAGGAGTGTGAAAGAAGATGAAGATATTATTTTATTCATGATTCTTTAATTATTTTTGGAGAATATTCATGATGACCGAAGAAAGTGATGCATTGTCAAAATCATCATTTGAAGGAGTTCTAACTTTTATTATTATTTTTGTTTCTAATGATAAGAAAATGTGAATTTTGATGTATACTGATTGTAACAGTGATGAAAAAAGAAATTGTACAAAAGAAAGAGAATGAAATTTATAGTTAATTAATGATAGGATTTTCATAGGTTGTAGTGGTTCTTTGTATGATTAGGGATTTTACTGATAAAGGTGGTTTTGTCATCATTATAAGTAGCATGCTCTTCTTTTTATTACTGAGTGTAATTAACAAACTATAGTGACCAAAGTCCAAGATATTCTTCAGTTCAGAAACTCAAATATGTCTTTGAAACATGTGAATGTTTATTCTCTTTACAATTATTTGAGTTGAACTTGAAACTATGAATCGAACATCACAGCCACTGGGCCACTTCATGCACTGTCATAATGTGGAAAGGTAAATGCCATACATTCTAGAATAAACGAATACAAATTTCTTTTTTCATTATTGAAGGCATCAATGCTACCTCTGTTTTTTTACATAAAAGACAATTTATTTTTTAGGTTTATTGAATAACTAATATATTTGATCAGTTTATGAATTTAATATATTGATCATTCAATAAACCTAAAAAGTAAATTTTTAATAGTAGGAAATATAGAAGGAGTTTGTTAGATTATGTAAATAGTAACTGGTAAAAATAAATAATATTAAGTGATGTTGCCTATGTGTAAGACACCCTCACAAGTTGGATTGTGAAGATTGAGAAGACCAAACTTGGAAATATGAAATTCAGAGGTTTGTACAACTGCTTTGTTAAAAAATCTACTATTTGAATTTGGATGCTGATGGAAAAAAGTTTGATGAGGCTGGATTCAATATTCTCGTAGATAATATGGCAAACGATTTCAATATGTTTTGACCTATTATGAAATGATGGGTTGTGTGCAGGGACGGAGCCGAAAAATTTAAAATGTAAGGGCAAATATAATACTAAATATAAATTTAAGATAGATAAATTATTTGATATTTATTAATTTTGATTATTGACCGGTATCTTAAGTCTAAATAAAATTTAAAATGTATTTTTTTAAAAATAAAATAAATTTAAAATATAGTATATCTTTAAATTTCATTGTTTTAAATTTCACAAAGGTGTCAATATCAAAGGTAAGTATTCACCTTTAACATAGATGTGTTTTAGTGTAAAAATATTTCCCCGCAAGGAAGAACTGTCTAGACCACGCCGGGCAAGAGAATCGCCCACACGACCAAGCTCCGCCCTCCGCGAGCGGTATACTCCATGCCGTCGAGCAGGACCCCCGTGGCTCTCCCACGTCCACGGGTGCTCCCCTCCTCGGGGAGAACAACGTGCATCTGGGGAACCTCTCGAGCTCCCCTCCGCGAGAAAATCACCGTGCCATTCGCACGTCCTCCACGTGCTCCCCTCCGCGGGGACACGTCACCAACCAGCTGCCCACCTCCGAAAGAGCAGGTCAAACCCACTTTCCGGAAATCACGGGACAGTTGGACTAGGGCGAAGACCACGTCCTGGTCTTCACTACGCCACATAAGCCCTAGCAGTCACCTGGGTTGGGCCTGACAATCCAGCCCAACACAAGTGACCGTTGGCCCAGCGCTGGGGTCTCTCTATAAATACCCTCTTTCACAAGAGGGTCAGGTAATTCACGTCTTACCCACTTTTCTGTACTTTGCTCTCACTCTGCTCAATTCCTTGCTTTGGCATCGGAGTGTCTTACAGGTACACCCTCATTCTCCTCCTCATCACCGGTGAACAGGTAGCAGTCCAACAGCGTGTGGCCAGCCCGTGATCCCCTTCTGATCAGGTCAGATCAGTGGCACCGTCTGTCCCGTTACTCCGAGCAGAGAACCAAAGTTTCACCAACATTCCACGATCATGGCTAGTCTACACCACGACGATACCATGCACGACTTCGTGCTCAACGCCGCCGCCAACGGCGGCAAGCAGATAGAGACGTCAGGCCCGGCGGAGACCGACGAGAGAGACGGCCAGACTGCTTCTCCGTCGTCCGCAAAACTGCTACGCCAGGCTGACCACCGGCCCCCGAGCCCAGCGGCGTTCCAACTCGTCCCTATCTCGGTGGGAACGGACCCAACGATGGTCGCCCTCTTTGCGGCCATCAACCAGACGAACCAGCTGTTGTTTCAGCAGAACGCACGAATTTGAGCGTTGGAGCGGGAGGTCCCCCCGAGGTCCCCTCCGCGGGAAGACCAGAACGAGGGCTCGAGGAGTCCCTCGCCTCAACCCAGAAATCGACGACCTCGGCTGGAGAGGCCCTAAACCAAAGTAGTGCGGGAACACACCAGATCCCCGACGAGTCAAGTTCGAGGGAGGCGGCAGAACGCCTCAGCAATTCCGACCAAGAATCCGCGCGTCGAACCCCCGGTCAGAAGACCGAGGGTCCGAAACCAGATGCATATCCTAAACGGCCCACCTTCTCCTCGGTCACCCGTCATCAGCGACGAAGACGACTACCGGACTCCTTTGTCCCGGGAAATCATGGTCGCCCCCATTCCCCACGGGATAGAGAAGCCCTCGACGTACGACGGCACATCTGACCCGGATGATCACCTGGAAGACATCGAGGCCATGCTCGACTACAGAAACGTCCGAGGAGCTATCAAGTGCAGGCTGTTCCCGACAACCCTAAGAAAAGGCGCCATGACATGGTACAAAAGTCTGGAACCCGAATCGAGTACGTTGTGGAGGGTCATGAAGGACCTGTTTTCGAAACACTTCACCGCGTCCCGACGCCACCCGAAGACGGAGGCCGTCCTCGGCGCGATAATCCAAGCCCCCAACGAACCTCTCCGAAAGTACATTGAAAGATTCACCCGGGAAGCGGTGCAGGTAACGACGTCAGACGAGATGAAGCGTAACCTAATGGAGCAGGGGCTACGCCACGACTCCAAATTCTACGAGGCCGTGGGCATACACCGGCCAACCTCCCTGCAGGATTTCCTCGACAGAGCCGCACATTACATCCGGTTCGAGGAAACTCAAGCAGCCAACTCCGCTCGAGACACCCGAGACAGAGAGGCCCCCCGCGGGCACCGAGATGACGGAGCCTCGAGTCAGCGGCGAGGAGGTGACCGCCGTCGGGAAGATCGCCCCCGCGAACAACGCGGCCCCGCCGGCCGGTTCACGGAATACACGGCCCTAGTCGCTTCCCGCGAGCGCATACTGGCCGAGTGCGCCAAAACCGAATTTGCCCAAGGAGGTGTCTGCTTCTCCAGGCCGACGCCCCCCAAACCCAATGTGAACAAATCGAAATACTGCCGATTCCACAGGAGCCACGGGCACGTGACCAAAGACTGCATCCATCTCAAGGACGCGATCGAAATCCTGATTAAGGACGGCCACCTAAAGAGATACACCCGGGGGGTGAGGCCCCGAGGCAAGAATCCTCCGAGGCAAAGAAAGTCGAAGAGCTCCCCTCTTCTGACGGCGACAACAGACTCCAGGTCGCGCTGTGTGTCGGTCGCCCCGAGGACTGGTTCGCGGACAGAAAGTTCGGCCTCCCCGACGGCCCCGACCTACCCGACGAGCCGGTACGACCAACCAGCCGGTAGGAATACTTTCCTAAAGCCATGGTTATCTCGGGCGGCGCCACAAGGAGCCTATCCATAGGATCGGTGAAAAGAAAGTTCGATGAGCTTATCACGAGCAACTCCGGTAAGATGAGCACGCTCGAAAGATTTCGCGGCCGATCCAATCCGATCACATTCTACCTCGAGGAACTCCCCGGGGGATCCCCCAACTCCAACATTCACCTGCTCATACGGGCGCGGATGGCGAACTTCGACGTCAGGCGCATCCTCGTCGACGGAGGCAGCTCGGTGGACATCATGTACACCCACCTCTTCACGACCCTCCAACTCGACGAATCCAACCTATCCCCTTACGTAGGCTCCGACCTTCAGGGGTTCAACGGGACGACGACGAGACCTTGGGGATACGTGGAGCTGAAAGTCACGTTCGGGGAAGAGAAAACGGCCAGGGAGATCAGCATTCGTTTCTTAGTCATTGAATGCCCATCCCTCTACAACTGTATCCTGGGCAGAACGACGATAGCAGAACTCACCGCGGTACCTTCCACCGTCCATCTAAAGATGAAGTACTACACGAAACGGGGGGCTGTGGTGACCCTTAACGGAGACATCGAGGCCGTCCGGAGGTGCTTCGAGGCCGCGCTGAAAGGTTAGGACACCATCGCCCCAGCGACCAAGAAAGCAACCCCAACCGTGACACCG